AGGTTCTCTGATCTAGTTTACACATTTAACAACCCTGGTGGTATTTGGATAGATTTGTGGAGAACCACGCTCAAGGGTATAGCTATAATCGCTATTCAGTAAGTTTTCACAACATAAGATGACACCATTGCCAGAGGAAATAAACCAGTCATTCAGAATTTGAGTTGAATAGATTAGTTCAAATTCATTAGTTTCGGGTACTTTATAGTAACTATTCACACTCTAAATCCTATACCAGATTTCAGTTTATTCACACATAAAGCGGACTTTTCTTCCTTTGAAAAGATAAACTTATGTTTCTTAAAACCTTTAACCTAAATACTGCTCTTATGGTAGGGGCGCTGGGTGAGCATCCAACTCTTGATTTCAGCTCAGGTCATGATCTCAGGATCGTGGGATTGAGCCCTTGCGCGGGGCTCCATGATCAGTGGGGAGTCTGCTTGAGATTCTATCTACCCCTCCCTCTCCCTCCAGGCCTCCCCACCGCTCTCTCTCTCTCTAAAATAAATCTTAAAAAAAAAAAAATAATACGCTATGGTAGCTCTCAAAAACATGTCTGTGCCCTAACATACTTTCTTCCTTTATCTTGAGAAATTGAAAGGTATGACTGACTACTACTTACTTAGTTAAATATGAGGAAACTTCATGCTCTACATATATAACTTCCTTGATACAGTTATGACTGTAGCCTTTCAGAATGTCTGTCTGAAATCTGTAGACCAGACACTTATCATATGTTAAGTATTCTGAAGAAATAGATAAATGGGTATTAACAAAGGGAGAATCATGACAGAATTACAACCCAAGAACTAGTATGCAGGATAGGGTAATAGATCTTAGACTCTAAGCTTGCACTTATTAGTTGAATGAACCTGAATGTATCATTTTACTTCTTTGAGCCTCAGTGGTAGTTTTTGGAATTGAATGCAATATTGTCAGGTTTTTAGCATAGTACCTGGCATGTAGCAACTGCTCTAGAAATGATATTTTCAGACCTATCTTCTTCACACTAAAATTTGTTTCCTGTGATTTGGCTGGCTTACATTAAAGTTTGTTGTCTGTATAACAGAAATGAACTATCCCATATCTCTAGTGATAAGTAAAACAAGTGTGAATTATTACAGCTAGATATATTAAAAAATTTTTGTTATCAGTAATCATTTTTTAAAATATTTTTAAAAGATTTTATGTATTAAAGAGCTCACACGTGAGCTGCAGAGAGGGAGAGAGAGAATCTTAAGCAGACTCGGCGCCAAGCACTGAGCCTGATGGGGGTTGGGGCTTGATCTCAAGACCCCGGGAGAGAGAGAATCTTAAGCAGACTCAGTGCCAAGCACTGAGCCTGATGGGGATTGGGGCTTGATCTCAAGACCCCAAGATCATGACCTAAGCCAAAATCAAGAGTTGGCCACATAACTGTCTGAGCTACCCAGGTGCCCCAGTAATCATTAATTTAAATCACACAGTATAACTGTTTGGATTTCCATGACCCACAAAAGATTTTCGTTTTTTATGCTTCCCAAATGCACATATTCTTGTAAACCTCCATTCACATGCTGGAGAGAGGTTCTACCTTAGGGTGGATGAAATTATAGAAGTACTCAAAACAGACTTATATGTCTAGATGATCATTTCAGGTGCCCCTTCCTTGTCCTCATTCACTCCTCAACTACCATCTGTCTAGGTGGCTAGTTTGATAGAAGAGGGCTTAGGGTGAGTACCTCTCTTCCAGTTTTGTGCCCCATTCACCAAAAGACATAGTGTTAAATTAAACCTTTGCATTTGTCTATAGCTCCATATGGTTTTTAACTCCTGTTAAGTGGCTCTCATTAGATCACTTAGAAATATAACGGTAAACAGGATGATATTTCATTTTTTTTAAAGATTTTATTTATTTGACAGAGAGAGATCACAAGTAGAGAGAGAGAGAGGAGGAAGCAGGCTCACTGCCTAGCAGAGAGCCCGATGTGGGACTCGATCCCAGGACCCTGAGATCATGACCTGAGCTGAAGGCAGCGGCTTAACCCACTGAGCCACCCAGGCAGCCCGATATTTCATTTTTTTGAGGGAAAGAGAGAATCTCAAGCAGGCTCCACACCTAGCACAGAATCCAACGTGGGGCTCAGTCTTACGACCCTGAGATCATGACCTGAGCCAAAATCAAGAGTCAGATGCTTAACTCACTGAGTCCCCCAGACGCCCCTCAACTTTTTTTTAAAGATGAGAAAACGAGAATGAAAGAGGCTACGTTTACTTGACCAAGGTCATAAGGCTAATGAATGATATTCTCAGAACTAGGACCCAGGTCTTTATGTTCCTTTCCCCAGTTCTTTATACACTGTCATTGAGATTTCAGTAGAATCCTTGGTATGGATATCTAAATCCACTTGATCTGATGGTTTAAATGTGCTGCTTCAACTTTCTAATCATATGTAAGGCAAAGAAGCCATGGAACAAAAGACTGATAAATTTGATGATCTAAAATTTAGAATGGATTCATGACAAAATCACCATAAGATATAAAGACTAATGAACGAGGCCATGTAGGGAGGGGAGTGAGATTGTAAATCACATAGAACAGAGGACCAATCTTAACTACATATCAGTATGAAAATAAGTTGAACAGTCCTCATAAGAGAAAAGCAAATTAAACAATGACATACCATTTTCTAACCTATCATTTTTCCCAAAGATCTTTAAGTTTTATTATATACATCATTGGCAAGTAAATGAGGAAAGACATGTTCATACATTGTTGGCAAGAGTGTAAAATGGTACATAAGTCTGTGAAGGATATTTTGGTAATATCTATCAAAATTTTAAAAGCACCCTGTGACTCAGTTTATCCTACTCCTAGATATCAACCCTATGGATTACCAGCCCTATAGATACAGTTAAATATATAGACACATACAAGAATATTCAACTTTCATTTTTAAAACATACAAAACAAAAAGTTTAAAAAGTACATCAAAAAAATTTGAAGGGACACCTGGCTAGCTTTGTCAGTAGAGGATGGGACTCTTCATCTTGTGATCATGAATTCGAGCCCCATATTGTGTGTAGAGATTACATAAAAAAAAAAAAAAGGAATATTTATTAATCTTTCACTTGGTACAAATGTGTATGATTGTACCACAAATTCCTGACATTAAACCTAACTAGTCAATTTTTTAACTTCTAAAGGATTGTTAAAAATTCTGCCAGATTGCAAATTCTTTGAAAGCATGCACTGTGTACACTTCCTCATCTTTGTACCTCCGAGGTGCTTTCTAGTGGATACTCAGTGTTAAATAATTTGGTACAGAAAATGGAACTGAAAAGTGCTTTGGTTATTGCTAGATTACTAAGAGATCCAGATTCTTATATTAGTCCACATACATCTGGTTAGAACACTCTGAAAAAGAGAAGTTTTTCTATTTTCCTATACCCTAGTTTCCCCATCTTAAAAAAGGGGTGGTTAGGTGGTGTCTAGAAAAGTCCCTTCTAGCTCTGTCTTTCTAATGCCTCTGTTTCTAGCACTTGAAGATAGCTATATTCTTCTACTCTTAGTATTTCATAGATCAGTAGACCCAAACTTTGCATACCAACAACTTTTAAGTGTGTATTTATGAATTAAGTATGTCAATCCATGTATTGATACTAACATACAGTTATTTTAAAACTGGAATTTTCTTCCCATGCATGTGTATAGTTCTGTGCACTCCTGGAGTTTGTGTATCCAAATTTGGAGAAAACTCTAGAAAAGCACCTTTAATTTTTTAAATATCTTAAAAAGAACAATGTAGTTATTAAAGTATTACTCTGATGGATATACCTTTGTCAAACAGCAAAAATCGGGGTCTCTGTTTTTTTAGCAAAAATTGTTTTTATCACTACTTGTTGCTTCATGCCATCATCTTCTTTTGGCATTAATACTTGATAAGCTATCTTAATAAATATATTTGTATTCTTATAGCTTGCCTTAGAGTTTCTCAGAGTTATACATGGTATATCATGGCAACATGATAGCCATTGATATATGCCATAATAGGTTAAATCTCTCTGGTTTATTGAATGGCACATGAGTCTGTTTTTGAGGTTGCAAGGAAAGATCAGGAAAATGCTACTGAGGTCTGGAGGTAGCTGCCACTTGTAACAAGTTTTTAAATACTACACAGCTGTTTCCTCTTCACTAATAGAAAGAATCCTAGACCTGTGGTTGGAGATAGGTTAGGAATGATGTAGTCCAACCAAACTAATCAGTTAAGCATCAAATGAGCTACCATATAGCAAGCTATTAGTTTATAAACATAAGGATTCATATCTGAAAATGTGAATGGGGTATCATAAATATTAAGATTCGGGACTACATGTCCACATGTGGACTAGCTACCCTTTGGATTCTCAAGTTTCTGTTCCTAAAGACTCCCATCAGAGAGCTACTAGACAAGCATAAGGGAAAGAGGAAGGACCATATTCTGATTCGTTGGGTGACTGTGTAACTTCAAACATATTTGTCCTTGAGTCTGAGACTCACTTTCGTTATTTATCATGAGGATAAGTATACCAACTTTGCTTGTTTGTTAGGAAATTTAAGTGAGATAATACAAGTGAATGTGCCTAGAACATGGTAGACTTTCAAACAAAGCTTAATTCCTTCTTGTCTCAAAGTGGCTCTGATCCTGGTAAGTTAAAGGACAAATGAAAAGGTTTGAATCCTGCCAAGTTCAGTAGGTTAAATGTCCTGAGTATACTAATTTTTTTTTAGTATACTAGTTTTTTTGTCCATTGCTATCTGGGTGACATCTTAAGTACCTGGCTATGTGTAATGTATTCAGTTCAGTAAGGAGGCTGGAGCTGAGAAACAGAACAAAACTCCTGTACTTTCAGGTACTAAAATGCCCTATCTACTTTGGTTAGAGGTCCAAACAATAAAAATGACTGAATTTTCTTTTGCAAGGTTGATAATTTCTTTGAAGTTAAAGTAAAACTAAAATGGCTTTACACTTTTTTTCCAGCATGCTACAAATGAAAACTGATGAGAAATTGAATTTGTCCGATGGGAATACAGCAAGTTGCCCTTTGAGCCCCATTAAGATGTGCCTTAATCGTCCCATTGAATGGAATCTGAATTTGACAGCAGCATCTCTAGCGAGCTGTACAGTTCATAACCAAAATCTCAAAAGTGAAGAGAAATAGATTGCGGTTCTTCTTGCACTATCCTTATTTTGTACATCAGTATTCTTTCTGCATTTATCATTTGATCTTGAAATATTTCTAGTCCTGTGATGTCTTTATATCAATTCATTAGCATTAGTCATTTTGATTATAATTCTTTGTATGTTTTTTCGCGTTTTACACCAGACCATTGTGGAATTTTACAGTACAAATGGATTTTGATGTTTCTCTTTTTAATAGTATTTTGTGAATCTTTTATGCCCTAAGTTTAAATACATAATTGTCCCCAGTTTTATTTCTGTGCACAAAGTTTTAATATATATACTGCATTATGTGATTTAGAAGGCTAGTATTGTAAAGATTTGTGATGACCCGACCATGAACAATTGTATAATAGGTGGATACCAACTACCTCGAAGCGAACTGGTAAAAGGCAAAGGTATCTCTTAGAAGTATATCTCTTTCAAAGTTATATATGTATAGAAAAATGGATCATAGTTTATCATCAAGTAGCATGTTTTCATTCATAGAATTTGAGCTGATCAGTTCTTTCTCTGTACTTTTAAACCTATAAAATCTGTGGGCTGTAAGATCAGTGGCACAATTGCATGTTTACTCTTCAGCAAAGCTGTGCCTCTTGCAGACAAGAATACTATTTGGTGTAAGTTACCAGTTTTGAATGAAAAATGGTAAATGGAATTACATCTATTGATTTTATTGTATTTTAGCCATTTAAGTGTAAAATGTCTTTGAAAATCAGGATAATATTCCTTACCTTTAACGATAATAGTGCAAAAGCATAGCTTCAGCAACGGCTACGTGATTGTGTCTAAAACTTGAATAGTAAGAATACTAAAGGTTTGGTGCTTAAATTTATTTTTCCCATGCCAGAGAAAAAAAGCTTTGGTATGGTGATCCATGGAAATATATAAGAACATGGGTTCTTCCCTTTGGATAGCCTGACTGTGGGATAAATGGGATTTAGTCTATGGTGTTTCTAAACACTTTTCCTTACACATTCTGTGTAAACTTTAAGTCCTATTTCTTCCTCAAAATCACCTCCCTTCCTCCCTCACCCCCAAAAATTATTTTTAAAGTGACAGGGATTTAACAAAATAAGACTTACGTAAGGAATTTGAAGCACAGGAAGACACAGAGCCAACAGAATGAAAAACAATCATCTGGTTTTTATTGTTTTATACCACCACCATATCAGCCTTTTCCTTTTGCTTAATAAGCATTCTTACTTTGTAACTTTCAGGCTCCTTTTATATTTCTGAGTTTTATAAAGCACATATATGTATGTAATATAGCAATTTGGTTCTAAAAAGCACAATGATCTTAATTTAGCTCTATCTTAGAACATTATCTTAAATAAATGGCCTAAATCTTAAAAAGCACAATTATTATTAAAACAGATCCAATGTTAGGGCATTTCTATTCTGGATAATAAAGAGAAAAGGTAATCAGCGGGATAAGAAAACATGTTTTGCTGGGTGTTGCAGACGGAAAGAGGACTGAGTTCATACTCGGTTCCATAAGTGAGGAAAGTGCCAATTTGGGAAGAAAAATGAAACTGACAGTGAAGAAACAGTGCTCATAAACTAGTATGTAAAAGACTTCCTGTCATGTTTTTCCCACTAGAATTGTCTTTTATTATCCACAATATTTATTTTGTTATGCCAAAAATGTAGAAAGCAACTCCATAATTAATATGTGTAAGTGGGGGTGCCTGGCTGGCTCAGTCAGTAGAGAGCGTGTGACTCTTGATTTGGGGCATATGTTCAAGCCCCATATTGGGTGTAAAGATTACTTTAAAAAAATAAAAATAAAAAAAAAAAAAAACATGTATATTTGAACATCTAACCCAAGAAACACCATCAGAAACATAAGCAAACTAGGACTCTCATATGCAAATATTATAAGAAGAGAAATTATCCATCCGGGTTGCATTACCAAAATGTTTTTAGTGTAAGAATCACAAAATTATCAAAATAACTGTTCAACTTAGATGCTGGGAACTTTGGATTCACTGTAGCAGTCCTCCTCCCCAAAGGTAAGCTCTTTCCTAGCTAGTTTGTGGTACTTCATTTGCCCTTGAGATGTCCCTTTTTAAATGTTCTAAAGTGTTTTCATCTATGTTGGATGTGCCCCATCTAAATCATAAGCTTCTCAAATGCAAGCTACTAGCTAGTTACACTGAGAAGCTGTCCAGAACGCCATGATACTAAGTGTGAGAGTTCATACACATCACCTGAGAAGCCGATTTACGAAGCCAGTTCCTAGGCCCTCCTTAGACCTAGCTGGTTACACCCAGGGGACCGCTGCAGGCTTCTGGGGAGCACTCGGACAGGCGCTGTCCTAATGTTTCAGTACAGGCCAAAGTAATGTGGAGTCACATAGCACAAAATCCTACAAAACATCAGGCATTTTCTAATTTTGATACAAGCGTAACTTTATTAAAGCAGAGAACTGAACATAATTTTAAAGGACATTGTTAAAAGGACTTCACCTCCATCATCTCTTCTAACTTATATCTTCATTGAGAAACTGTGCAAGGTTAAGTTTACTTTTTTCTAGTGCTGCTGTTTTGGCTCGTCTTGGCAATCTCATCTTCATTTCTGATTCTGGCTCTGGAATTTCGGGATCACTAAATAGATGTTGAAAATACACCAATTTAAATACAAGCTTTAAAACAAGTTTATTTATCAATAAAACTCTGTTTCTGTCATTTTATCAGTGTGTAATTGATATCCTGATTTTACTAAGTTTAAAACTAAAACCAAAAAAAGACTAACTGGCTGTCTGGCCAGATAGATCATAAAAAAACCTAGCTAATTGCTTTTTATTTCTATATGGAACCTGGTATTACAAGGAAAACAATAAAATTTTGCAATGAAATGATTAAATAGGAACTACCCAAAATAATTTTGGAGGACAACACAAAGTGAGAAAACATTTTAAGTTCTCTTAATTTAGGCAATAAATTCTTAAAACACTCTGTAAAAAGCAAGTTTCCTCAAAACATTTTAATCAAAACTTAAAAGTTATATACTGAAAATACACACATTACGATTTTACCAATAGATGAACTTGGGCAACTATAAAGTATCAGCTTACAACAGTGGCTTAATTTGTAGAATCTAAAAATAAACACTATGCCACAAGTATATACAATTTACCATGATAGATTAATCCTGCTTATAAATGTCAAGAACCGAAATCTAAATCCTCAGAGTTTGCTAATTCAAGATCGAAGGAGTCCTACACACAATCTTATAGTTAGAGGCATACATGGAAATATAAACTGAAAGAACATATTAAACATGATCACCTAGGACTAAGGGCCATCCCAGTAAGAAAAGCATACAAGCCATAGGAGGTCAAATGCTCTTGATAATGGAATTCTAGACAATATATATATCCAAGACCTTGCTATTTGCAGTTATCACTGAGTATCTTGTTACATAGTGAGATTCTCTCTTTCACAGTGGAAGCAAACTATAATTTCTTTTCTACTCCTAGACAAAAAAAAACCAAAAAACAAAAAACATTTTCTAGATTTATATGGCATACCTTTCAGAGTCAACCTCCACAGTCTGACGCCTCCTGTTCATCCTAGCTGAAGCTGTCACTTTTCTCCGTCCTTCAAGACAGTATAAAATTCATTATCAAAATTTATTCTCAGTTGCTTAGTGTTTCTATTTTCTGGGCTACCCAAATCCTTCATTTTCCCTCTGCAACACATTTCTTCCTAGTTACCAGCCATTTATTAATTTCTTTTGTAAACTTGAATAATAGGCAAAGGAAAATATGGAAATCAAATTATAGGGAGGCAAATTTTAGTTAAATATGTATGGGAGAAAGGAGAATATGAAAAACATGCTATGTAAAGAGAAGTACTTCTATTATGGCCATAGCACATAACCTACAGAGAAACTAATGAAAACTAAGGGGAGAAAAGTAGGGTAAGCCCATCAGCAGGTCCGGGAGAGAGAGAACTTTAATGTAAGGTAATGGCTTCTTATAAAATATTCCATCGTATATATGGCCAATTCAAATGTGTTATAAAACATTTTTCAGTATAAAAACTAGATCTTCTAACAAAATGCTGAAGATTGCAAAAATTCTACTTGCTAGAAACTCCCAAAGTTAAGAAGACAAAGTTTAGCAAACCATGATGCTCCTCATTTATGTATAAGAATCGGATCAAATTTCTCCATATGAACATTGGGTTGAAATTTATATATCCTATTTATTATTCATGTGAAACTTACTGTTTTTCTCCAAAACCTTACATAATTGCTTATAATGCAGCTAACCCCAAGAAAACATCCAACAATATGGGACTAATTTGGAACAATACCCAACAATAAGCATGTAAATAAGTGATTGGCTACAAAAATATTATGGCCAGATTCCATTCAGAAAAAATTAAATCTGCATAGGAAAGGGCCTCAAAATTGTTTTTTAAGAATTAAAATAATGGTTGGCTCGTGGGTGGGATGATTTGTGTTCTTTATATTAGTTTGCTTGCATGTATTTTCTGATTCTTCTGTAATAAGCATGAATTGCTTTTGTAATAATAATAAAACAATAAAAAGTTGTTGAATTTCAGATTTTTTTTCCAAGTGATCCTCTAATAGTCAACATTTACTTTATTCCAACAAATCCCTTATTGTTGGATACTCCTTGGGAAAGAAATGATGTTGAGAAATTATAAAATAAAATGGGAAAAAGGAAAACAGAAGCCCAGATAAGTACTACAGGGATAAAAGGTTTTCAAAAGTGCTTAATCATACAAAGGACAGAATAACTGACAATATAAAATCATCATTGATCTTCTAATAAAAGAATCTTAATTTAATCCAAATAGTCCTTGGCAATATGATACATTGCATCATATCTCTTTCAATCAAAAGCACTTGGAGCAACACTGGTATTAGAATCTGAGACACAAAGCAAAACCTAGTATCAGCTGAAAGAACTGAAAATAAAGGATACCTGACACATTTAAAATCTTTATCAACAAGGAAACTTGCAAAGTGAATATTTCATTGGAAAACAGAACTGAAAAGTTTTATTATAAAGATCCATACACTACCTCTGTTAGTCTTTTGCTGAGTGGATTTTGATGCTCGGGTTGCTTTTACATCCCTGAGAGGAGTTTTATATGCTTCTTTACTTTTTTCTGTTAAAGGAAATAATACAATTCTTCATTAAATATT